GCCCGTGGGGGCGGCGGGGCGCCTTTTTCTGGACCCTGTGACCCCGCTGCTACCGGACGCCACCACCGCCGCTGCTGGGGGTTTCTTTGACGGCAGCGCCCTGGCAGTGGGCGCGCTGCTGGGAGAGGGCTGCGGCGCCGGCAGCGTCGGGCTTATGGGCAGCCCGCCGCCACGCGCGGGCAGCGCGGCAGTCGGCGCGGGCGCCGTTGGGGCCGGCCTGGCGTCGCCCGTGCTGGTGGACACGCGGGGCCCCGGCGCGCGGGGCAGTGGGGTTGGAGCCGTCACCGGCGCGGAGCCGCTGTCGCCCTTCACGGCGCTCCTGCAAGGCGGCGGCCTCGAGCCCGCCCCGGGGTCGGGGCCCCTGCCGCTGGGTTTCCAGAGCCCGTTGGGGGCGCCGCTCGGGGGCGCTGCCGGGCCCTCCCGCGCGACAAACGAAGCAGGTGCTGGCAATGGCGGCGGCTACCCCGGCGTCGGCTGCTGCGGCGGAGCAGCGGCGGCTGAGCTGGAGGAGCTGCTGGCCGGCCTGGCCTCACCCCCACAGCGGGGCCAACAGGACGCCGGCGGGCGCCAGGGCTGCCCCTGACGCGGAGCGGCCGTCTTTGCGCCGGGGCGGGTGCAGCGGTGGTGGCTGCGTATGGGAAAGGGGGGCTGCGGTACGGGCGATCATGATTGATATGACAGCAAGCCTTTGTGGGGCTTGCAGGTGTGGCGCCCGTGATTGACAGTGTATGGGGCGACTGCTCCAGCCGCTGCATCCTTGCTGAGTGATGGGGCCGGGAGGAGGGGAGAGAATCAACTTGAACACAGACGCGGTGGCGCTTATTGCATGCCTTGGAGCACGGACGTCGCACGCCGCCGCCGCAGCGGTGCTGCGGGGCCATGTTTGCACCGTGTGGGGCGCGCACCAGCAACACATGTATCGCAGGCGGATACTGTGAAGGTCCACATACCACACACGTACACACCAGCAACACGTACATTTGCACACGTACATACCCACGTACATATACGCACTGCCAAAGCGCCCATCTGGCCCTCCCACATCAACCCGGAGGGAAGCCACGACAAAACCCTGTTGTGCAGCAGTAGCGGATCGCGCCTGCACATCAAGAAGCCACACGGCGAATAAACCCCGCTAGTGTGGCGTGTGCGCTTGTTTAGGACTTTTGCTGCGCTGGCTGCTCAGCAACGGGAGAAGCGCGGGCATCGGCTGAGCGCCCCTGCCGCCCCTGCTGACCTCCAGCTCACTGCCAGGATGGTGGGTGCTGCATGCATCTACTTATTCGCTTGCCTGTCATACATGAACAGCAGCAGCTTTGACTGTGTGTTTTGATTAGGTTGACACAACTTTGGAACCTTTGGTGCAGCTTCCTGATGTAATTGCAGTGCCGCTATCCCGCCTACACATCTGCACGCGCTTAAGCCCACCAGTGGTGCTTCTGGCACGATGGCCTCACGGCTTTACACAGGCGTAGCACATATGCGAGTAGCCCATCTCTGGTAGCCGCCCCACCGCACCGCCCAGCATGCCATCCACGTCACCGCCGCCGCCGCCGCCGCCGCCACTGGCCGCTCCCAGCCGGACCTCAAAGGGCCCCGCCAGCGCCCCGCGCTGGCCCACCTCGTACACCAATACAGAGGCCCAGGGCACCCCCGCGCCTGTGATGACCGGGAGACGCGCGCGTGGCGACGCTGCGGGAGGGGGGGGGGGTGTAATTGAGGCGTGCGAGGGGCGCTTTTGAGTGGCAGCACAGACCTGGGCTGGCATGGCTGAGTGTATCTCAGGGCGCAGGCGTGATCGGCATTCCGCAAGCGCAGCAGTCATGGCACTGGACACTGCAACACCCGATTGTTTTGCACGGCGCGCTCAGGTGTCAACGACGCGCTCAGGTGTGAAAGGCAGCAGCTGTCTGTGCCAACCTCCAACTGCCACACCGCTTGCCCCCGTGTCTCACCCGACGTGATCATGAGATACGCTGCCCCTGGGGCCAGCAAGCGCCACGCCTGCACGCAGAAGCGTCCGTCAAGTTGAGCGCCAGGTTTTAAGGTCCGGCAGCGCCATGCCCATTCCAATGCAGTGCGTCTCACGCGCGCCACACAACCCTCACACACACGTGCGACGCCAGCTGGGACTCACAAAAAAGCAGTTCCCTTGAGCGTGGCACGAGCGGCGCCCACGCACGCACCTCCCTCAGTGCCGCAGCCGCGTCCGCCTCGCCGTTGTCCCCGCACAGCAGCGCGTCCAGCGCGCCTTTGTCCAGGATGCCGCCAAAGCAGCCGTCCTCGTGGCGGCCCAGGGCCCGCATGTCCGCCACCTCGTAGCTCAGCGCGCCCTGCAGCTGCGCAGAAGCCGACTCGACCCGCGCCGCCTCAAGGCGCTCGATCGCCACCGGCGAGTAGTCCACCGAGTGGACGGCCGTGTAGCTGTCTCGCAGCACCATGTCAGTTTGGATGGCGCTCGTGCCGACGCCGAGCTGCAGGATGGGCTCCTGCCGCGGCAGGTGCCTGCACGCAGCCAGGCGTGCGGGCGATGAAGGCGTGCATGTGCACGAGGGCGGGAGACGGGTGCTCAGTGACGGCCGACTTGGCTTTGAGACGGCCGCTTGAGTTGAGCAATGCAGCCTGCGCAGTGCTGGCTGCCCCACGGCCGCGCCGCCACACGCCGCCCGCTGGCGTGATGTGTCCCGCTGGCCTCAGTCACCGAGCTCCTTTTGCAGTGGGGTGCTGGAGGTGGCCGTGGGCACCACCTGCGAACGGAGATGCAGCCCGGCTGGCGCGCACCTCGTTAGCACGGGCCTGAGGCTGGCGTAGTCGCGGTACCACTCGTACCCCAGGGCCTCCCCCTTGTGGCGCGCATCCCAGTACGACTGCTCAGAGAACTGCGGGAGAGCGATTCGGTGTGGTGGCAGCAGGCTGACCGGGTGCAGCTGCCCGGGCAGGGGTGAGGGCGGGGGTGACAAGGGCGCCGTGCAGGCACCCGCCGCGGCGTCAACACACAAACCTGCTTCACTTGCAACTGTGGCAGCTCCATTTCGCGGCAGCTCAGGCTTGCAGTATACAACTCACCGCATCCTCGCTGCTGTAGAGTGCGGGGTGGTCGTACGAGCTGCTGCAGCACGCGCCTCGGGCGACGCGCCGTGGTTGCTGCCATGTGGTGGGGGAAGGGAACTGGGCTGGCACTGGCAAGTGCCGATAACCTGGCATATAGCGTGACAATCGACCAGAACCCGCCATTGCTGGTTGCGTTTTGCACCGCCAAGTTTAGCGCAAGCAGCGATGATGCTAAATCGCGCCGTCTGATCTCTTCAGGCACAGTCTATGGACGCATCAAACGCAATTTGATAGGTCGTTGCATCGGGTCGAGCCCCTGGCACCCGCCTGCCTGTCACTTGAGTTGACCAGATTTGAGTGACAAGGGGGCACCGGCCCTGGCAGGCACATTCCAGGCTTGTGAGCGATGCTGGTCGCTGCACGCTCACAGCCAGCTGTGGAGTGACGTCAGTGGAATGCCGCCCCCCCTGAGCATGGTGCAAATACGACACTTGCCCGCCGCCGCGCAGGAAATCCGTGCTCATTGTGCCGTGAAGCCCCTTGGCACCAGGTAGGGTTCGAACACACGAAGAGGTTTTCACAGTCAGCAATCCGCAACCCACCAAAGTGGACTGCCCTGCCACATTTGCATGAAATTTTCCCCCTGTATAAGCACAACAGGAACGCCGTGCTATCAAGCCCCCTGCTCGAGCAGCAGCTGCTGCTCTGCCCCAACA